TCATTCGGCCCTAGCGTCGTATCAGTTGAGGTTAGACGCGTCTAATCCACAGCACCTGACACAGAATAATCGCACTGATTCTTCGAGACCTGGTTGTTTCAAATCCATTCCCGAACCTACAAATGAAGTTCGCATTGCATCATTCACATCGGGAGTTCAAGTATAAGAATGACCACACAGAAGATTACCGGATACGCACATCTGACGAGCGAAACCGGTCGTATGCTTCTGTAACTTTTGTCCAGTCATTCATATACTACTCAAATGAGTTTGATGGAGATCTTTGACAAGTTCTGCAGTGATTCCACTGAACTACTTCATGTGAACCAGGTGTACCTGCACCAGGTCTACTAAAATCAGTTTATTTTGCAGAGGGCTCTGTGTAGATCCAGTCCCCCCCCCCGTCCCCACCTTTAGAAGAGCCCTAGAACACCACAGTAAACTCATCATTCAACTACCGCAAGCGCCACTGACTTTTATACTGCCATCGACTCCATGGACAGAAATTTTCCTGGATGTTTACTACACATCAAAAACATGCCGACACGGCTGTTCGACCAGGGCGTGAGCGCTGTGCGGGGAAGGTTTAAGATAGATTGAGTTCGGATTGGCCCGTGGGGTTTTCCAGAAATTCCCAATACTGCTAATTTATTTCGTCGTCTGGGTCATGACACAGAACTCTAAATACTTCCTTGGGTTGCAGCTCAGCTCGGATTTGTGATTTACCGACCACAGTTTATTGCTCGGGGATATCTTATGGAACTAATTCGATCGGATCAAGTAGTTCACCAAAGCACTCGGTCCACAATGAACAACTCCGAAACTAGGATCTTTTTCAGCTGTGATCCCCATTGCTGTAGCCAAGGAAGTTATAAAAATTCTTTCAGTCTTTAACTATCTTTTTTCCCGTTGCAAAAATAAGCCTCAAAACTCCGAGGTATGTCTGCAGAGCCGTATTTTGCCCCGTCCTCACAAACGATTGGGAAAGACGATTATTTACAGTCTAGGGCACCAGTGTGCTGTAAATGAACTTGTCATTCCACATGACAACTTCTTTTCATCAAACAACGTTTAGGAATGAGGAAGTGGACAATTAGTGGGCTACCATGTGATGCAAAAAGAATAAGGCAAAGTTAGACGTCGATAATAATATTCGCACACTATTTCCGGGGTCACGTGACGTTGACCATTACCACTGATTGTGTTTAGTGTTTTCGCCGGTCTATGGGGGTTGCTGTGGTGAAAGCTGTTCCGATTCTAGATAGATATGGTTGACTGAATTACGTGAGTAGAGAAAATCTGATTTTTGTGAGCGAAGCTTTTTGTTAATTCTCTTCCTGAGAATTCGGTAAACTCGTTAGGTTTCATCTCCCCATTTCCAACAGTTTTCAGATTTACGAAGCATATTTTCCATTTCAGCCCATGGTACACATGGCATCTGAGTGAAAAACAAAGAACCAAAAATAGGGAATATCTATCTGTTCGATAGTTTTATCCTTAAACCAACAATTTTCTACAAATGTGGGAATGGGGAATACGATTCTGAAAGATGTATTCTTGTTTGAGGTGTAAATATACGAATGTCCCACGTACTACGTATCTCATCCGCACTCGCCTGAGACTAACAAATTTTCTTCCATCATTTATACTTACCAATCACTTTCTGGGGTCTTCGATCAGATTTATCAACTGGATGTGAAAATCTTCACGATTGGTTCATCAGCCTGAAACTCAATCACTCGGATCTGGAAAAAGTACGTCAACCTCAAGAATTACTCTCCATATATATTATAAAGATATATATGTATAGGATGTGTTTCAGACAATTCGCTCAGAAATGCTCGGTTATTTTTGATGAAATTTATGTTCTCACTCACTTGTTCCCTTTTTACTCGTTCTGTCGAAGCTTCCGTAGACGTGAGAGCGATCTTACGACCCTGGTTTCGAGTTCACTGTTCACACACACTGTGCTGAATATCCTGACGAAAATCCTATTAACCGGTCAGAATAGAACTGTCTGTCTGAGGAAAAGGTGGTAGCAACCACACTAATGTGATTCTCGATCCCACATCTTTGTCTGTTTAACCATGGGGAAGCTGTGTAGCCCCTACCCGTCCGCATTCGTGATCGTTGGCACAATGTTTTTTTGTTTCTGTTTATTTCGAGAGCCTACATCGACCATTATCACTAGGGATGTAGAAAAAAGCCTTTCCATGCTCGCAGTCTGACGTTCAAAACTTACTTGCACAATTTATTTGATATTTCTATCGCTTTACTTGGGGGTGTGGACCGCAGATTATCACGTGATGTAACCGTGTTCTGCTGTTCTTCGTTGATGTCAAAGTGTGTGTGTGCATGCTAACATCATCACAGCGAACACTGTCTAATTCGAGCTAAATACCGGGACTAATCGGAGTGGAGACGAATGAGAAATAGGCGGTTATGGCTGCTGTGATTCTGTCTGTGTTTCGGGCTACTTGTTTCGCTTGGTCGTCTAAACCAGCTTATGAAATTAAATTGGAACACCTCGCCTCGAGCTTTTACCACTATGATCTAACTCACGAATCGGTGTGGAGAGGACAGTTTTTAGAGGCTACGGTTAATCGGAAATTGTTGTCCTGTCTATCGAATCTTGCGCTGTTCGGATGGCGCTCCCGTGTTCCGGATGTCCATCATTCCATCGAACCCCATATGCACCAACTTACGTGTCTCTGGAACTTGCTGAATTCGATGGAATGAAACGGGTTCCGAGTCGACCTTTAGCCCCGAAGATTAACTTCTCATTTTCTCAAGTAATTGAAACATTCTCAACACATAGAGCCATTTATAATAAGACTTCCTTTTATGAGGCCATGAAAATCATTGAGGTAAAAAGGGGGCTTTCAAGAGGTGTCCAGAACAATGTGGTCCGGTTATTATAATACCTACGTTCGGTTGTATGGTTAATCATTGAGTAGATCCATTTCATCTGTCGGAATGCCTTGATGTTTGAAGTGAAATCTAAAGCTAAGATGTGGAATAGTTTTGTTTCCTCATTGAATTCAGTTCATTTCAGTTTGTACAACCATTAGCCATACACTTTCGTTCGCCGGTTTTGGTTGTTGTCTTTTGGCTCCCCTTTCGGATGAAGGGGAGAGACAGAAAGTGAAAATTAGACTCGAAGAGAAAGTGGAGAACTTTAGTGAACTGAGTTTGCCAAGAAATTGAGAAGATGCACGCTTAAAAATGGTCGTCGTCATCATCCCCTGTAGTTCCTGTGTTTGCCAACTTGCGGTTAGAAATCTGATTCCAACAAAAAAGTGATGTGTAGATAACACCTCGTTTCAAACGTGATGATACGATACTCTCGGAAGTTGCTACCATCCAAATTTCATTCGCTCCCACTCAGAAGGTGTAGTAGATCCGCCTCCGCTCCTCCTTTACACAACTGGTTTGTGCTAAACCTAGGATCTACATCATGTCTGACGTCCCTGTTCGCAAAATCTCACTACACATATGTGATGATAAAGATGATGGCGTGTAGCCTACTCGCCAAGTTGACATACTTATATTGTTGAATGGAGGAACTATCCTTTGATACCAGACTGTTTTTCCTCTGTCCCTCTCTCTCGTGTGTGTTTCTTTTAAATAAGTTAGTACCGTCTCCAAGTAAAAGAAGCGCACACAGACATGCAAACAGCATGGAAACGATACTCGTCTTCGTTCTTTTCGTCTGTCTTCTGGACTAATGAAGATCTTGAAATGTCCACAAAGTGCGGACGCCAATGTTCTCTTTGTTGATCGATGATTATCGATCGGTCTTTCTATCCTAATGATGCTGGTTAATAACAATCAAGGTGATGAAACAAGTCCCCTCCTGAATTTCTGGTGCTAATCCCATAGCTGTGTTCTTGACTCAATTCGTGTTCTTGACGCCTATCGATCGGGCATATTTTTTTGATAATCGCATTTTTGCAATACTTTTCACGCGGTCACATGAATACAACGGAATGGACCAATGGGCACTCATGGTGCGGTCAGAGTATTTGAGTCCTTTCTGTTTGATTAAGTCGAGCAACACGTTTCATGACGTTGTGCCTCGGAATTAAAATGTCACCCAGTTTAGTCTTAACGATTTTCTTGCCTAAGACGCTATTGTCGAATGGAATGGGTTTGTTTCAACCGTCTGGGTCATACATCACCCGACGGAAACAATCGAGCGCACAGATGCCATGCGTAGTATTTCTATTCAGTTGTTCCATCCTACTAGACAGTTGAGTTTCGTTTCACACCTGAAGTAAACCACGCTTCGAGTCTTTTTAGGGTATGCTAGCATGGTTGACTTATGTGGCTATGCATTGACACATGCCACCTGCCACCCCTACCATCCATTCTTATGTCCATAGTTTTTGTGCCCGCTTCCAACTTTCGATGGATGCATTTTTCTCTACAATTAAAAGAATCTGTCTGACTAGCAGACCTGCTGGTTAATCGCATCCAATGTATTTTTTACCCACCAAGTTGAATGCATAGCTTAAACGCGAATCTGAATTCATGTAAATAGTCGGTAATGATTATCGTGTGATGTTCGGAATAGAACTACAATGATTTGGAATAAAAACGGATGTTTCCCACCCTAGACACTAAGCAGATCTCATTAATTGTCTTTGGGAGTAATGTTGTATTCAATATATTTGACTATACCGTCAAATCAGTACGCCTTGAAAATCGGTTTACACTTTTTCTTACTCATCAACAGTTGTCACATGCCCCGAGTGGGAAGAGTCTTTGTGTTGTCGGTCCAAACAATCTTAGCTGGTATTTCAACTGCTCCTCAGTGTCATTGTAGTTCCAAGGCATGTTGGCTCACCTGAATGTCTTTTCAGATACGAGTCCGCAGTTTTATTAGGTTCTTTAACAGCGTTCAATAGACCACAGATTGAGCACGCCAGTCGTGCCTGTAATCTATGACTGCAAGGTGTTAGAATGTCCAAAAATCGATCTTCAAGATGATCAAGGGACTGGGATTGCACTGCACTCAGTATCTAAGAATTAAAGAGGAATTCATTTGGATGTATCATAAAATGCAAAACCCTAAGCACCCTGTTGCATTAGCACGCCCACAATTGATTCTTTCACGCTTACAATTGACGAATCACATTGGAAATCCGCCCTAACGATCAAGTGTCGGGCAAGTCCCGCAGTCAAAAAAAGACTAGATTGTCTTGAAATGCGATACTATTATAGACAAGGAATGGTTGATATAAAATAATTACATACCTCGAATCGTGAGGCGATTCGGGGAGTGCATGTTTGCACTTTCAGGGCCCAATCAGGTGGTAGTGAGTCTTTTTAACACATCGGGACCAAATGATGTTAGGAGTGTATCGAAAAACCGATGTGCCATGTGTTGTTTTATTGTGAATGTTATAGTGTTAATAACACAGCGATGTCGGTAGAAATATATATTCCCTGATGTTTCGGTTACCGTAGGTAACCTTTCTCAGGGCAGGTTTTACAATCAAATGCAATCACAAGCATTTGATTGTAAAACCTGCCATGAGAAGGGTTAGCCATGGTACCCGAAACATCAGGGAATATCTATCTCTACCGACATCGCTGTTATTAACAATATAACATTCACAATAGTGAGTCTTCATTAAAATAGCTGAGATTCACAATTAGGGCACCATACCGAAACGCGCCTTCGAGGGCCATCAAGACGTTCAACTCAACGGCCGCGGATGCGCGCAGTTCAATCAAAGTCAACGGTCAGAGTGCCCTAGGTGGCAAGCATGTGTGCACAAGGGTTTGATGGCTGACAGCCAGCCAATCAAATGTACGAGGTTAAAATACTAATCACGTGAAGGACGGGAATAATGAATTGGTGGTGGCGTATCTCTGCGTGTGCGTGTCTGTCGATCGGTTGATGCCCACTGGGTCACGAATAAGAGCGTGGAGTGATGGAGGCGAACAACTGAGGATGAAAATGACGCGGATCACTGACGAGAGAACAAACGGCCGGATCAATAGACCCACTGGGTCAACGCAGGTGTAGCAGGTCCAATAAGGAAAGGGAAGAAATCAGGAGATAATGAAGGATGACTGGGGAAAGGTATATGCGGTTTGGAGAACGAAATGGATTCAACACAAAGCTATAATTTTCAGCAAGGGGGAAGGGGCTAATCCAAGTTCTGCCATACAAGACCCTGTGGGGAAAGTCAGGCGAAGGTGGTGGAATTCGAACACACGTTCTCCGGGGTGATCATTTAGTGACGTTACCATCGGGCCTCCACCAACATCATTTATCAAAGTACATAAACCAGTGAAACTGTATGATATTTTCCACATGCCTGCTTGTGTGCGGCATTTCACATGTTTTACTCTTTCCGGACAATCGATTCATATGTTTCCGAACCCCGTGTGGGACAAGAAAAGTAGCAGCTTGTAAGCATCGTATAATGCTATTGATGTGAAGCAATTAGGGGCGAACAAAGTGATGAGCCAACAAGATCGTGGCCTTCATTTGTTGACTGTTCAGTTAACCGTTCTAGCTGAATTGTCGATCCCTTTACCTTCAGTAAGTCGATTGTGTGGTGCACACGCACACCGATCACCCATCGTATTCCCGTGTGCTTTCCAAGAGTTCAGCCTATGTAACGTTAGAAACAGTCATAGTGATTCCGCATTCGCAATACGTCACGCAGTCCCGTACCGGTTTACCGATAGAGTTTATTGGGTCGCCATAAACGTTGTATGCTTTTCTCTCGCCACTACTGCACGTTTTCATGTGGTGAAGCTCCAGTTTGAATACTGGTCACTCAGCTTGTGATCACGTGATTCATGTGAACAATGAGGGTGCTGGCATTGCAACATTTCCGCAGCACTTCAAGCACTCACCATTTGAATCNATTTGAATCTGTTCGTCTGTACAAATATTTAAACAGTGCACATGCGCTATTCTGTAAGACTGTGTGGCAACTGAAAGAATTCTCTAATCTAACCCGAAGTGAGAATTGCATTTCTCAACAGTCTGTCTCGTTTTACTTTTTCAAATACAGTTGACCATTTACTAATTCCAATCACTTACTAACACCACAGTGTGTAAATTGACACTCGAATTCAGTCTGTTCTCGGCCCGTTCTACACGTCGCATCAATGACTTTCTCCCTGTTTTTGCCTACACATTCTTCATTCATCCACAGCTCAATTCACAAGGCATCACCAATGAAGAGGACTTCCTTCGAACCGCTACCAAGGATGATCTTTGGCGCCTAAATTTGAGGTATTTCTATTCACGCTGTCCATTTTCCTTGCGGTATTGTTCCTTTTTGATTTGTCTGCTATTGTTTTCACCTCTATCGAGTTAACACAATTCGAACACAGACCATTCAGAAAATGAATTATCTTTCGGTGTTTTGGTTTGTCTGTTTGATCAAATGTGATTGAGTGAGCGAACGGGGGAGAGGGGTCTCTCTTTGGTTATACTCTTCGATTCTGGAATTCATTTGCTTAGGTAGCGTTAATTATAGGATGATCAACGTTATGATTGCTTCGCTTGCACTGTTCATTTAGACCTACAATTTACACTTGTGACTAATAATCGTAGTTTGAGCGACATTTGTCAGACCTGGTCACGCCTTTAACAAGTAGATCGTTAATAATTTATTTAATAGAGGTACGAGTACGGTACAGTTTGATGGCCATTTCGGTTTTGTGGACCTTCATGCTACCCGGTCATCCAAGCCATGGTAGACGACTGACTTTCAAAAGATCGATATCTCGTCTGTCTGATCATACATCCCCTTAGGACGGGGCTCCCACGTTCACTATGGCCATTACACTGATCACCTCGGTCGGATCGGTGACCGTAGATTCAATAGCTAGTGTTGATGGTTGGCCGTTGCGACCTATTTTGTCACTCGACTGTTCTGCAATCAGGAACTCGGTTGAATTGATTTCCCTCGATATTCATCTGTTCACATTGGTTATCGTAAGTTGTAGATATTTAATTGAAGGGCCTCAATGTAAGCGTTTGTAATACGTGTAGTGAATGGATCGACATGCTAAAGATGCTGTCTGCCGCGGTGATTAAACGTTGAATTACCTATCACCTCTTATCATGTGTTCTTATTCTTTCCATTCACAGCGGGGGAGCTATTCTTCGCATTTGGAACAAACTGTCTGAGTTGCGCCAGGCTGCCTCAATCACCGCAGTTTCACAGTTATGACCGGTTATGTGTGTTGTGTAAACAGACAATGAGCAGATTAGCATCTCTCTCACTCTCACCCCCTCAAACCAGCCGTACGCAAAAGACATCTCTTCGGTATGGTTTCTACGTTCTTGAAGGATCGTCTGTCACGGGGAAGTCGGTTGTGGTTGTCATTCTCCACCCTTTTTGTACACTTTCTTAAACTATTTTGCAATACTTAAATTCATCCAACGCACATCATTCATCAGTACTGTTGCACAAATGAACTGATCATACCCCGCATCCCTTTTCATCCCACCCATCTCATCTCGGTAGTTTTTTTTGCTCTATCCTCATCACACGCATACATTCAATGCCCCCCCCCCACACACACACCTCAAATCTTTGTTTACCCTCTAGAGCGGTAAATCAGTGGCGCCAATCCTTCTTCGTCCTTATTCTCATCTCCGGGGGTAGGGGAAGGATTAATCCCCGTTCTTCGTCAGATCCCGAGACTTCGTTCAGCGGGTTACAGTGGCCTCTCGACACAAGGTCCAGATTTTTATCCTTACGCCACATCCTATCATTTCTCGAACTCATTTAGGCATAATTGTTCTGTTCCTTGCATCCAACTGATTCACATCAGATCGAGCTAGACACCACTGCCACCTTGTTCGTTTTACTCCCGCCTGTGCGTCCAATTCGATCCTGACCACACACTACTGCCCAGTCAAATTGTCGTATTTTGTTTTTTGATCTACTTGATCAAGAAGAGTAGATTTGATGAAATAAGACAAACCGGGGCGTAGGGAGATTTAGAGCTCATTTATTTAACCTACGATCTTTCATGATTCTCAGTTATGCGCTACACCATCACCTCTGCCCGCCTCCCGTTGCCCCATTCATTGATCCTCCCCATGAGTCCTCGCCCTCGTTCTCCACACCATGCGCCTAATCCCGTTGCTATTTTGTTCATCCTCATCTTTGTTGGTCGGTTGCCCCTCTCCCTCCTCTTCCTGTCGTACGCGTATCTGGACTCATTTTATGCACACAGTTTCGCCGTCTGTCTCCCAATTTCTCGTTATGGCTCTCTCTTGATCACTATCTTTTTTCATCATTTTCTTTTTTTACCCAATACTGGTAGTTTTTTCTTGTATTTTGTTGTTCTTCTGCCTCTCACTACTGCTTATTTTATCCCCGGCTCGATTCCTCAGTCCAGTTCTTTCTCGCTCCTCGTCTGTTTCTCTAATTCTCTCTCTCTCTACTCTTGACTCATGTANTCATGGTGTCGATTGGAACACGTTGAGTGTACGTTGAAGATTGTGTATTCTGGGACGGGTTCACTTACAAGCCATTACAATCACTCATGTGGGATATAATAGGAGTGGAATTTACTGCCCACCGGGAGATGATTTCACCACAAAGTGGAGTGGATATGGGTCAAAGATGATTGGGTTTATCACGGTTGGCAATTATGTAGTATCATCACTCCGCTGAGGCTCTGGATGATTATTTCTTGATCCAGTTCCCGGTGCGCAAAAGAAATTCAAACAGAAGCTCATTGCTTCAGTTGTTAATAGCATGCAAAGTTTAATTGCTGTACTCTGTTGAAATGGAGCTCACTAGGCGATGATCAATGTCGGATGGTCATTGATCCAGTGTCTGATCTTGATCAGATGAGTAGCAAGACAGTTTTGAATTCACATCTACCTCGCAGTTACCTGTGACTGGTAGTGTGGAATAAGTTATATTTATATGGACTAACTACCCATCAGACTTCCCTTTCAACCACAATCCTCAGTTCATCCAGTTAGCCGTACATTGCGGAAGCCCTAGACTACAGTTAGGCTTTTAGTAGAGCTCAGCAGTAGTGAATATTTCATGTACCGTCTCGGATTTGAACTGTGGACCCATTGCATGGAATGCCTGTGTGTTACTGCTGTCAATCGGGTTGACCAGATTCAATAATTCAATTTTATCCGAGTAGCATCTTCAGTGTCTGTCACTAAGTTCATTTTACCCGGCACCAGCGAAAAGAGATACAGTTTCAGTTTATACAATCATTCACTTTTGCCTGACGGTTTTGGTTGCTCTTTTAGCGACCCATTTGAATGATTTAGTCGCGGCAGATTGGAAGGTTGGAGCAAAGGTTAAGTTAGAATTCTAATAAATGTAGGTCATATGTAGAGTGAGAAGATAGTCGAACGCCTTGTTTATAATACAGCCATATTTTTTGTTATACAAAGTGATTTACAGCAGAAGAGGTAAACCCCATAATCAATGACATACTGTATTGGGAGAAGGTATGTGAGGGACAATACAAGTGAGAGTCAATTTGTCAATCCTGCTTTTAATAGGGTAAGGTTATAAGAGCTGAGACACACGGAGATGGGGAGAGAGTGTTCCGCAATTTCGCAGTCCGCGGGAAAAAGAAGGTTGAAAGATAGAACTGCGATATCTGGGGACAGAAACCTGATA